GATGGATACTTTATTTTCCACCCTCTAAGTCTTTTCTCCCTCTTTCCTACTTCGTCCTATGGTTACGAGACGTTGTATTCCAGATCACATTTCACAATTATTAAACACATTTATCAGCGTTGAGTTATCCTGTATTTCGACACTTGACAAGTTTTCTCCGGACTAGGTTCATTACGTAACTTGTTTCCAGTTCCATTATATACAGAGCAAATAAGCAAACATACAGTGCAAAAACACGCAAACACAAACAATTGTTCATCAGTTGTTTTGCAAAATTCAATTGTAATATCATCAAAAACCACAAACGTTTTTTTTTTTTTTTTTTTTTTTTTTTTTTTTTTTCCTATTCGTGGGAAGCATCACGTGCTGAGAACCGGGCTCAACTGAGAATATGTAACACATTTGAAATTTCGGGGCCATTACCCGGCTTCGACTAGGAAAACAATCAGTCAATTACCTATGAGAAACAACTGCAGTTCTCAGAAAACTGTCTATGATCTACCCAACCACAAACCAAACCTGGAAATAGAAGATCCTAACGAAAACCTCCTACTGTTTACACCTCCCTTTCAACAAGCGAAAAACGTTAAGTCCAAGCGTTTAGTCCTCGTACCAGAACTTATCTGATCTGATATCCCCTATGCTAGGGTTACAGAGCAACAAAAACTTCCCCAGTACCGACCAACCTGGTTCAGAGAGCAAGGAGTGCCTTCCTCCCTCGACACTCTCGATTAGCCACACGCCCCTTAGTTACAGGGAAAACCCCGGGCATCAACTACGTCAGGCAAACCGGTTATGCCTTCCTCCCTCGACATAACTCCACATACCTCTTGCTCCCCAGGTTACAGAGCAAAAGCTCTAGCACCGGTCTGCGTCGTCCCAACTTTGTCCTTCTGACCTACTTACTTAGACAGACGTCCCTTCCCATGTTGAACCCCCCTTGCTTCCTCCCATATTTCAATTCTCACTATCTCCTTCCCCCCTGACATTCTATCCACAATCTCCCTGATCATAGGCAGAAACCCAACAGAAAATTTCTTAAGACCTTAGACTAGGAACATACGAGAAAAACCTGATTGGCCTAAAAACAGGAAGAGAGGAAAACAAAAACCACCAACAATCCAACTCTCTCCTCGCACTACAGAGGAAAGATCGTAGCTCAGATGTTCAGTCCTCCCACCACAACTCGCTAGGTCTCATACCCCCCCTGCTAGGATGACAGGGCAACACCACTTCCCCAGTACCGATCGAGCTAATTCTGACAGTCAGGAAGTGTCTTCCTCCCTCGACAACTTCCTTAGCTAAAAAGCCCCCAAGGTTAAAGGGTCAGTGCCCCGGCTTCAACTGCGTTGAACAAGATGGTTATGCCTTCCACCCTCGGCATAGCTCCAATAGTCTCAAGCTCCACACCTGGTTACAGAGCACCTACGCTCCAGCACCGACTATTGTCACCCCACCCCGCCCTTCTAATTAGACCTACCCCCTGAACTCTAATCCCTCCTCTGCCCACGTACCCACCACACTTGCCTAGCAACCTTAGGACCACTCTTCCCCTTCCTCCTATCCGGCGTCAACTAAAATTATACTATTTTTTTTTTCAAAAAATTAAGAAAATTTCAGAAAAATCAACCACACAAAATCTTGAAGAATCACATGAACATTTAAGCGCCCACTATTCCCACAGGGAGAGGGGAAGAGAGGGAGAAGAACAACCCTCTCTCCCCATGGAAACTTCAGCGCCTATTGAAGTCTCGGATACATATAAAAGGGGTCACAAGAGCCAAAGGGATAGGGATTACTCCCCTCCTTCAAAAAACGACCCCCTGTTTGTTTACTGCCTCCGCGGGAAGGCGCCCCCTCACCTCCCCGCCCCAGTTCAAAACAGCTCGCAGGATACCCCTCCTGCTCCCACAGTCGCATACAATACCCTCTAGAGTATGCCCCCACAGAGCAAACAATACCCCTATCTTCCTGCCCCACCCCCTCCAAGTGGAACAGCCCTCTCAACTCTCACCCTGCTGACGTCAGCACCCCTTGTCCTCTCTCCCCAACCGCCATAGCTGATCCGACCCGAAAATCAGCGTGGCCCAAAGAAGGACAAACCCTCAATACCGTCCCTACCCTCTCAAAGGTCACCACCCACCTTGTGTAACCCTCGCAGGGAGGGACCCCAAAACTAAAGGAGATATCCACTCCAGCACCTCTGACCCCGATCTCACAACATCACAGTTGAGACTCCCTTGCGAGAACAAGATTTATGTGGCTTATAAATTAATACAAAATTTGCTGCAATACTTTATGAAGACGGTTGGCAACGAACCAACTCGTATGTCCTACGTTCCCCCCCACTTTCTCTCTCTCTCTCTCTCTCTCTCTCTCTCTCTCTCTCTCTCTCTCTCTCTCTCTCTCTCTCTCTCTCTCACACACACACACAC